AAGAAAATATTTCAATTATGGACAAAATTTTTATGTTCTAATGAACACTCAGCACATTGACAACCGTTTGCATTTAAAAGCATAATGAAAAATGAAAGTAATTTATAACAAGGCTCAGCTTTGTATAAATACTTGTGCCCCTGAACAACATATAGTTTTGTACTACTTGCACCACTGAAGATGAGCTGAAAAGAAGATCGAATGTACTTGAGAAATGAAAATAAAAGTATTTAGAACAGTTATAGCCCATTTCTCTCATATTTTATTATCAATACCCAGAAGGTTATTCGTGAGTATGAACGGATTTTGGTAAAAATTAGCAGACATAATGTCTTTAATTTATTCAATCAGACATGCCTAATTTATATATATGATAGAAATTATTAGGAGGATTTGATAATTATATTTAAGTCATTCATCGAGTCTGAAACCTCAACAGAATGCAGAAAGCACTGGACGGCCTTTTCGTCCTATATTTGGGACTCATCAGCAGTGCGCATCCACTACCGAGAACTGGAACCCTCACAGTTAGGTTGTCAAGCAAACATCATACCAACTGTTCAAACAGGGCCGAGGGGACGAAGAGACTGAATGTGACACTGGTTCAAGTGGCTGTGCATTACTGATGAGTCCACAAATATAGGACGAAACGGCCGTCCAGTGCTTTCTGCATTCTGTTGAGGTTTTCTAGATTCGATGAATTATATATATATATATATATATATATATATATATATATATATATATATATATATCACTAAATGTAACAGACAATGAATGTCTATTATGTCTGAACATGAACCGTTCTAATATTCGAATGTTTGCTTTAATTTGTGGTGAAAATCAATACAAAAATTGCTTTCGCCTCACATGAACCATCCTCAGAGTGCCTATACAGGCATGAAACAAAGATACCCATTGTCAAAGCTGATATTTTGTTATACTGACATAGAAAATTACTATGCGACAACAACTTAGGACCGACTTAATAAAAAAAATATTCAGATGTTGTAAAATTCTTGTCTTTATATTCACACGAAATTAAAGCAAATATTCTAACATTAGAAAGGCTCCTGATCAGACATAATAGACATTCATTGTCTATTATATTTAAATAGTGATCCGCTGATATATATATATATATATATATATATATATATATATATATATATATATATATATGTGTGTGTGTTTCATTAAGACAGATCAAAGTCAGTAGTTTTTTGATTAGTCGACCTATATATATATATATATATATATATATATATATATATAAACAAATGTTTAGAGGTACAAAATTTATATATAGTTTTAAAAACAAGGAATGCATTGATTTTAATTTTAAAAAGTCTCTAAGGCCCTTTCAACCAACATCTCATTAGGAGACAATCGTTGGATCAACGAAAAGAATATTAACGACAATGAAGAGCAAAAAAGGGGGAAACACACTAAATAACAAACAAGTATATATACTTGTAACGAGGGGAGGAAATAATCGTGTAAATAAATTAGCGAGGACAGTTAAAATAAAATATCCCCAACAGATTAAGAGACTTTACAAATTCTTTCTGCCGGCAGAGAGAAGGTTTCCTCAATCCTATGCAGACCGATTCCAAAATCTTCAAATGATTGTTGGAATATATATATATTGTTATGGTGTAGAAACATAGAAAGATAACACGACTCGGATATAAGGTTAAATAGTATATTCTCGGAAACGTAGTACAAAGGTAAATGTGGACTGGAGAGTACTTTCTCTCACTGGTGTCCTGACTCACTCATTTACTCACTCTATGGCTAGTACTCGGTGACCCTCACTTGGTGACTCACTTTACTCAGAGTTGGTAGCCATATTATATAGATGTGGAAGAGTCCATTTATAGGTAGGTCCCCACAATATATATATATATATATATATATATATATATATATATATATATATATATATATATATAACGCAGTCTTCAGGTTCTGAGTAGGGACTGACCATACTCAGTCCATACTCAGTACATGGAGTTTGCGTTTTGCATGAAACTCTGAGTCATGCGAACAGTGGAGGGATTTTCAACGCAGGCTTATCTCTCAGTTGCGTCTCTGTCCTTGGGCAGAGTGCGCTCCTGGGGCTTCTCTGTCAAAGGACAGAGCGGCAACTGAGAAAATTATACTGAGAGGTACCCAGGCCTGGGGAACAGCTGCCCGAGGCCGCGCCCTCCCATTGCACCAGATGGGATCAGTGCTCGCACCGAGGCCAGCGCAACCGACGGTTGCGAGGGTTGAGGGCAATTTTTGTCCCTTGCCCGGGTGTACACGCTCGGGTCCCCACTTTAAAAAGACCTTGTGTCACATCTCGTCCACGTCTCGCGAGGGATATTATGTACATTTATAAATATATTAATACATGCTTAATAGTTCTGCTGCATAATATCGAACACTGTTTTATTAACGCAAGCGCTTTATGCAAAATACATTCATATATATATATATATATATATATAGGGTGTTCATAAATTCTGTGTGCACTTTAAAAAATTTATAACTTTATTAGTATTTGCGATAGAAATAATTTGTAAAAAGGATTAAAAAGAAGTAAATCTATACTTTTTAAGGTTTTATAGAAATTTTATTTAAGTTTCCACATGTCCTCCATCATTAGCAATACAAAGGGTAATACAATTTTGCAGTTCACGGAAAACATTTGCCAACTGATTTACAGTAATGCCTGCAATCGCATTAGTTATTTTAGCTATACTTAAAAGGAAGTGCATTCAGCTTCATAACATTTTTTACATGTGGTTCAAGGCCAAAAATTTGGTGCGCGATTTGAAGAACGATCCCACAACTCAGACAAGCTTGCTAACCATTACATGTTTTGTCCATGTGTGTAAGCTCTAATGTGTATGGCTCCAAATACATTGCGAAAAGGGAAAATGCAATCAGTTTTCTATTTGGATATAATTCTATTTCGTTTCTTTGTGTCTCGCGAAGAAAAAAAGAATTCTGAATCTATTTTATTGCAATACATTTATTTCTTCAGACTTCAATGCTGTTACCAGTTGCAAAATAAAACACGACTCTCTTCAAATACAAGAGGGAAATAAACGAACACAATAAATCGGAAATTAGTTTCTTTTGAAAAATTCTCAAATTTTCTGAGTTACCAGCCCCATTCCAAAGTTTTTCCTTTGCTTTCTTCAATAGACGGTCTAAAATTTTATTTTTATTTTTAATATTGAGGTCATGTTTTTTTTTCCTTTTCTTTTTTTAAGTTCTAATTTATTTTTTTGTTCTACCTTTCGCTTTTTCCTTTGTAGTCTTGAGTAATTTCTATTCCGTAAATATTCCAAACTCAGCTGGCACCAGAACATAAATTCCATTAGATGGTTCTTTGAATATTCCATTTCCCAGCATTTGAATCGGGTTTAAAATTTCAATAAGTTTACATGCATAATCACAGAATCGTAAGCATACATACACATAGTAACTTTTATTTACCAATTTGAGCAGCAACCCATCTTTGATAAAAGTTCCCTTAAAGACAACTGACAAATTCCTGCGATTAAGCGGCTTATTCTGTTTTTCTTGAACTCGTATAAAAGTTTTCTTTTCTATACACAAGATGTATAAAACTGTCCAAACAGCGTGTTTACTCATTGGCCCTTTTTATTTCTGTTCCTATTTTTTCTTTAGTTTAATTCCCCACCCACTCCGTCGTTAGGTGGTCAGTGATGTCACTTGTCTGGTGGGTGTGAGACATCTTTCGTTCCGGGTGTTTTTTGTATTTGTTTTTGCGTCTCAATGAGTGTGTGTTTGTGTGAGTGCTTGGGATGAATGAATGTTTTTTATATTTTTTATAGTCCCTCATTTATTTCGTCCAGTTAACTGATGTTTCTGCCTCATTTAAATATTGTAGGGTTTTTTATTACTAACTAATTATTTTGTTTAGTTTCTTGTAGAGAGATTATATTCATATTGTACATACTCAATGGAGATTTTTTTTTAATTTGTTGTTTTTATTCCCCTCCCCGCACAGACAAATAATTGTACATATCTGGGGTATTTAGTTTTTCCATAGAGACAATGAGGTATTATGGTGAATGTAATAAGAAAATTACGTATGAATGTGTTGTTTTGGTGTTAGGAATATTGTTTGTATGCTTGGGTCAGTGTTTTTGGTTAGCTAAATTTAAACTTAAGACAGATGAAGACCGTCCTTTTCCCCATCCTTCATTTTTTAGGCCTTGTGCCACGTTTTCTGTATTTTAACAGAAATAAATATCGTAAAACTGTCCAAAACATCCTCGCAGGATCCAAGGTACAGAGGATCAATATGTGTTTCTGATCTAAGTAAATCAAGGAATATTTATATTGGACATATTTACAGCATCTTATTTCGTCATAAAATAAACATATGTCAGATTACTAAATCTTAATTTCGAAATCTTTGTTTACCGGCCGTCCTGAAGTGAATAAACATATCCGTCCAGGTTAATAAATAAATCAAAAATAATTCCTTATATATATATATATATATATTTATATATATATATATATAAACAAGAGCGTCCTGAGAGTGACGATAAATAGATAGATATCAGGGATCCAGGAGGTTTTGAGGAGCGTGGAACTACTTACTTACTGGTGTTTCCAGGTCCACCCTGGCCCAGGGTGGTAGTACCTGTTAGGGTCTCAGCTATGGGTAAATAGTTAACCCAACCTAACTGGGGTCAAAATACTAGGAATGAATTTATGAAGGAAAAATTATTACCAGCAATATACTTTTGAAGGAAAATGTATTGCCAGCAATATATTTCTGGAAAAAAATGTATTGCTAGCAATACATTTTGGGAAAAAATATATTGCAGCAATACATTTTGGTAAAAAATATATTGCCAGCAATACATTTTTGGAAAATTATTACCAGCAATAAAAATCTTGTTAGCATTAAATAACTCATTGAGGTTGATATTCCGTAAAACAAAACAAACCAAACCAATATATACTGAGATAGATAGATAGATAGATAGATAGATAGATAGACAAAAAATATATATTTCCAGTAATAAAAATGTTGTCGGCATTAAATAACCCATTGAGGTTGATAGCCGTAAAACGAAACAAACCAAACCAATATATACTAAGGTGATAGATATGAATAGACTTAGACAGACAGACATTATTATATATATATATATATATATATATATATATATATATATATATATATATATAGAGAGAGAGAGAGATAGATAGATAGATAGATAGATAGATAGATAGATAGATAGATAGATAGATAGATAGATATGAAGGGATCCGGATTGATATGATAGAGAGAGAAGAGATAGATAGATAGATAGATAGATAGATAGATAGATAGATAGATAGAAAAAAATTACCAGCTATAAAAATGTTGACAGCCTCAAATAACCCATTGAGATTGATATGCCGTAAAAACAAACCAAACCGAAACAAAGAAGTTATGACTTTCGAAGAAATCTGAACCATTAAAGCTTGATTATGAAGTTCTCCATGGTCGAGTGAACAAAAACTTATAGAATCAAATGACAGTCTCTATTGCGGGGTGGCACTCTGGTTTGAATCTTACCAGAAGGGGTTTTTCTTTAATAAGATTTCTCGAATTGTCAGGTCGATAAACAAAATAAAATACTGTTTAAAATAAACGGCGTGTCTACTGAAATATAGTTATCTACTAAAAATGAATTTCGAAGTAATCAATGTATCGGATTAAGCAATAAATATCCATGAATTTTTTAGAAATATATATATATATATATATATATGTATATATATATATATATACCTAAGTATAGGATTGGTGTAGACGGAATAAAATTCTAATAAACGAACACGCTATTCTTAAAAGAGTGATCAGTAGAGCAAATATTATTTCTTCAAAATTATAATACCATCACTTGAGAAGACACCAGAAGTGTTAAAAAGAAAATGATTATTTTTGTATTGATGTTAGAAAATGTTAATGTTATAATTTTGAATATATATTTATATATATATATATATATATATATATATATATATATATATATATATAAAAAAGTAAAAGAAAATCGGAAGACTGTATTATTAGCCTACGCGTTTCGTCCAATGCGGACATTTTCAGGGCAAAAACGAAATGAATTTATTGAAAACAAAGTGACTATTAACAACAAACAAAATGTCCTTGGCAACTAGAAGAATTTAGCAAACGCTATTGTGTTCATATTGTCAAATTTATAAAGTAATTGTTCAGTTTGATGAAAATTGGTTGAAAGATCAACGAAAAATAAGAAAGAAACCAGTAAAAACCGCCATTTTTCACTATTTACGCGGGTTTTTACTATATGGTTGGACTCAATTATCAAGTTAAATAACTGTTAAACAATCAATTTCACATTAGCTACAATTGCGTGAAGTTTGTATTAGACTGAAAATGCTTGAAAATTGAGAGAGTTTTTATTTTAAAATTTTGTGTTGAAATCGATTTTTTGTTTTTCGCGGTATTTCGCTAAACGCAGTGGCTTTGAAATAAATAAAAATAAGGTGTCGTTGAGTTCGTCATGATATAAGTAACCTATCTACCGAGTTTGAACTAAATTGGAAGAAAAAAGTTGAATTTCTCGATTTTTGATCGGCTTTATCGATTATTGATTTTTTAAAAATAATCGATTTTTTACGCTTAGATCATATCTGTTACATTGAACAATGCATATGAAAAGTTTTGCCAAAATCGGTTGGATGGATCTCGAGTGAAAAGGTCTCACACAAACAGACAGACAGACAGACACCAAGACGTTCTCTTTTTATATATATATATATATATATATATATATATATAGAGAGAGAGAGAGAGAGAGAGAGATGACTCATAAAAGAAGATACAATAGATGGCATGATATCTCATTCCCGTGCTGTGGACTTTGCTGCAAGCCATATGAGATAACTCACTGTGAAGTGAGCAGAATTTTTTTTTAATTACTTTACCCTAAAGCGAAATATGCGCGAAATAGAAGGCTCTTTGCCTTGAGCAACTATTGAGCCTTAAACTCACCCTAGACCTGAATTGAAACTCATCCATACGATCCATCTGCAGGAAAATGATCAGTTCCTTGTACTGTATCAGTAAGTACCCGACTCCCCGTGCTATGCTCTACCTTCACAAGAACCAGAATAGGCCGAGAATGGTATACGGTTGTCATATTAAGGCAGGAGCTGCCCACCCTTGACTTTCCAGGTTTGATAGATTTTAAATCCACTCTGCATCCTTGTGGGTGGTAAATTATTTTCCACCCTCACAGACGGGATGTGGTAAGACTCTCACTGCCCTATCGCTACTTCCGTGGGAAGTGCTCAGACGAACTGCATTCCTTGTTCCCGCCACTTCTAACCTTCACGACCAAGATCCGCTATAACACTCACATTTTAGCAAACCGCCCATATCCCCCCCCCGTAGTCCATTGGGGGAGAAGTAAGTTTTATTCGGACAGTTTCTTCCCGTGAACCAATGCTCAATGGAGCCGTCCACCACGAGGATGCTTCTCCAATTACTACAATCTCAACCTGTTCACCTCTAGTCTTAACCGTTATCTTCCCCTCCTATCCACATAAGTCTTGGATAGCAGGGGAGATAACCGTTAAGCCTAGACGTGAACAGTTATGGAAGAGTATCCAACTCTAAGTAAAAAAAAAGCCATCAAAATCTTACTGCAATTCTCAACTTCGTATCTATGTGAACTGGGATTTTCTTACCTAAACAACATTAAAAATAAAAAAAAACGTGAAAGACTTTAAGATATTGAAGAAGAGTTAAGGGTGTGTCTGTCTCACATTCGCCCAAATATTGCAGCAGTATTCAAGAAGCACCAGGCACTACTGTCTCACTGACATTCGCCATTATTATTTTATGCCCTATATTGAATACAGGATATGTTGATTTATGTGAATAAAAATTCTTCTTATATAATATTCTTTGTTTCTTTATTATTTTACTGCAAAAAAAGGCTTTATAAGTGGAAAATATTTATTTTTTGTGTTAGGTGTGCCGCGAAAATTTAAAGAACTCAATAGTGTGCCGCCATGTAAAAAAGGTTGGGGACCACTGACATAGGGCGTAGCTCTTACACTCTAATCCTAAACCTTGAGTAGCCTCCGGGACTTATCTAGGTTGAAACTCACTGTAAAAAAAATATACACTTTCACCACTGGATTCTTATAGCTTTCTTGCCTCCCTGAGCTGGGCCGATCGAGGAAAATAGAGAATTGCCATTTTTCTGAAAATAAATGACAGCAACTTCTCGTGAGGTGCGAGTTGCTATAGTACCGACTGTTTCAAAAGTCAGTTTCATATTACGACACTGCGTATCTTAATAACTATTAAGGATATCAAAAGGCAATTTATATTTTCCACGTTTCTATACGTTTTTACAGGTGTTCAATATATGCGTCGCGGGTTACACGACACACATCCAAATGATAATCCAATTCTTGACAAACACGGCCAAGCATGGTGTTGTCAGTGTTTACCAAGGCTTCAGGGATTAGCATCTTCAGATCATTCACGTCTCTGGGAAGGAGAAATACGTATACAAGGCCTTTTACATAACACCAGAGGAAGTAGACATCATATGCCGTGAGGTCTGGCGACATAGGTGGCCATCGCTGGAACAAGTGATCAGTCCGTCCGAAATGTCCGACCCATCTGTCAGGCAGTGTGGTGTTCAGATATTGCCTAACTTAATTTAATTAATTAAAGTTACATTAAATTTAGCAGAAGAAAACGTGACATATTTAGCTTTTAAATGGCGGTACTATTTGTATTTCATGATATAAGAATTCTTAGAATGTAATATAGACTTTTGTAACAGCTATATACCGAATAAGCTAAAAGATATTCCCGAAAAAAAAAGAAAACATAAAAAAAAAACGGTAGTTTGTGACTTTATCTTATATCTACGCTGGATTGGATATATCACTAAGCCTTTGATAGATCATAACAAAAACACAAAGAAAAATCATTTTCACGGTGTCTCCGTAATGTATATATACGTCTACAGCAGGTAGTTTCGTAAAGACGTATATCTAAGTCTACAGCAGTAGAAGCGCTGAAATAAACTGTCGTTTTTATTTAAGTAGTTTTAATTATTTTTTTTTAAATGCGAAAATCAAGGAAGAATTTTGCAGTAATCAAGTCACATTAAAACATTCAATAGAAATAAATTGCCCGAGAGTCGAACCCTATTAATTTTACAGGTTTTGTTTTATTTTTATTTTTACATTTTTTTTTTACTTTATTACTTTTTTTCAATTTAATGACCCTTCAAGATGTACGCAAATTATATATATATATATATATATATATATATATATATATATATATATGGATCCCTTTCTTTTATTATCGCTTGATTTGTTATTTTTTCAATAGATGCAATTGATTGAGTAATTTGAAGAGTTAATTAGAGAAAAAGATTAATTTAACAATAACGATTTATTTAAAAGCAATGCCTGTAATATTTTTACTAGTTAGTTTTCAATCGATGATACGAGGAAAAATGAACTCGCGATTTTCGGAACGGGACGAAAGCGAACATAAAAGTGGAATTAACTAGACCGGGATTTGAACTCGACTTGCCAATTCCACTTTTTTTTTGCCAATAAAAGTTACGCTACCAGCAAATTTGGTGTCGTTTTCTATACTTTTACAACTAGGGCGATCACGGATTTCAACAGTTTCCGTTTGTTTATGAGTTGTGAATTGCCAGGACATTCTGGGAAAGATATTGAAGTCGTTTTCCATAATCTTCTCCATATTTTTCAATTCAAAGTTTTTCTCGATTCAGAGCCTCGGCGATCATGGCTCTCCACAGATTCCTTTCCTTTATTATTAGCGAATTTGCAATGACTTCACGGCTTAGATAGCTACGTGATTTTGCGCAGATTTTTACAGAATGTTCAATTCATAGCCTGTGTCTCTTCAGGGCAATCGCAATCAAGGATCTTCCCAGCTTCCTTTTCTTTATTTTCTTGCCATTTACTAAGACTTCATGTGGAAGATAATGAAGTGGATTTCCATTGCCTTCACACTTTTCAATTCATAGTTATTCTCCCCTCAGGGCATAGGCAAGCATGGCTATTCACTGATCCCTTTTCTTTATTATCTGCGAATTGCCATGACTTCTAGGGTTGGGAAAATAGAGGAGTGGATTTCGATTGCCTTTTCCACACCTTTAAATACGTAGTCTTTTCCTCTTCAGGATTTAAGCAAATCATGGCTCTCCACAAATTCCTTTTATTTATCATCTGAGAATTGTCATGACTTCGTTGGAAAGATAGTGTATTGGTTTTCCATTGCCTTCTCCGCACTTTTTAATTGATAGCATTTCTCACTTCAGCACGTAGGCAATAATGGGTCTCTGTTGATTCTATTTCTTTATGACTTGTGAATTGTCAGAAGGTCTTGGGAAAAATAATGGAGTGGTTTCTCATTGTCTTCTCCACGGCGTTGAAGACATACTGTTAGACGGGTTTTACTAATCAAGGCTGCTATTTAACTCCCAACTATGGGAAGAAGAGATACATTTAGAACTTTCCCAAGAGAATTTCTCTAACAGAATAAACCGGAAGTTGATCTCGGTACGTTGGTTCTAATTTCCACGCCGGTGACCCTTACTGTAGAACCAGTACCGTTAACAATAACATTTTTTCAACGTATCCGTTACTTCACAACCTAGGCGATCATGCCTGTTCATAATCTATAAGAGGTGACTCTTAGCTGCATTTCACACTTTGAGAATACTCTGCTCCCCTTCCGTTCCGACATCCATGGTAACCCCCCCCCAAAAAAAAACTGATCAGTTGGATGTCCCTCACCCTGTATTTTTTCCCATCTCTCTTCCTGCGAGTGTTAAATTTTCTAAGCCGTCTATCCTCATTATGTGTCCTAGCGTTATTAGAATGTGACATAGACTTTTGAAACAGCTATAGTACCGAATAAGCCAGTGGTTCCCAACCATTTTTTATATGGCGGCACACTATTGAGTTCTTTAAATTTTCGCGGCACACCTAACACAAAAAATAAATATTTTCCACTCATAAAGCCTTTTTGTAGTAAATTTATAAAGAAATAAAGAATATTATATAAGAAGAATTTTTATTCACATAAATCAACATATCCTGTATTCAATATCGGGTATAAAATAATAATGGCGAATGTCAGTGAGACAGTAGTGCCTGGAGTTTCTTGAATACTGCTGCAATATTTGGGCGAATGTGAGAGGGAAACACTCTTAACTCTTCTTCAATATTTCTAAGTCTTTCACGTTTTTTTATTTTTAATGTTGTTTAGGTAAGAAAATCCCAGTTCACATAGATACGAAGTTGAGAATTGCAGTAAAATTTTGATGGCTTTTTTTTACTTAGAGTTGGACACTCTTCCATAACAGAAATCTAAAAGGCGTCCAATGGCAGTTGTGCGTAATTCATTTTAAGACCACGATCACTGGAAAGGCTTGCTAATTTTTCCTCTTCACATAACTCAAAATTGAAAAGGTTGATGACTGATAAATCTAAGAACGGATTGCGAATCCAATCAAATTCTTCAATGCTGATTGAGGGAAAATAATCTTCAATTTTATTTTCTAAACATGTTAAATGCTCACTAATAATAGGAATCATCTAGCTAACGCAGTTTTTGCGGACTAAGGGAAATATATCCAAATCATCTACCTTCATTCTTTACTTCCATATTGCAACTTTTTTCGGGAATGTCTTTTAGCACAGTACCAAATAAGCTAAAAGACTTTCCCGACAAAAAAAACAAAAACATAAAAGAATACATTACAAAACCGATCGTTTGGAACGTTATTTTATATCGACGTTGGCTTGGATATATAACTAAGCGTTTGATAGATCATAACACAAACCCCAAGGAAAGAC